TGTAATATATATATATATATATATATATATATATATATATATATATTTTTTTATTTTTTTTTTGAATTTCACGAGACGGGCTCGGGGTGGGGCCTTGTGACCCAAGACGGGGCAGCACCCCACACCCCACCCCGCCCCGTCAACCCACGGGGCGGGGCGAGACAACTTGCCATCACTACAGCTCAAAAAATTAATGAAGGGGACATGCTTGTGGGATATATCATTATAGTATAATGACTACGAGATATAAAAATAAAATGTGAACTTGATGAAACTGTCTTGGGTGACTTGTTGCATTATTTCTCTCACCACAATTTGATATAGGTGATTTGCCTATGAGACTATTTTTCTACCGATTACTAACAGACATCAATTAATAATAGCAAATCAATCGGTCTTTTACAAACACAGCAAGATGAGAAGACTCTCCATGAAGATGTCATTATTTCATTGCCAAAAGTTTTGAATACAGATGTTGAACTCGAGAAAACTTCAATTAAAGAAGAGGAGCATGAAAAGATTGATAAATTAATCATAACGGGCAAAAAAGAGCTTGTAGCATTCAAAGAAGAGGAAATTAGCATGCAATCCCTCGACTTTATTGCTTCTCAAAATTGGATTTTGTGATTAAACCTTATGAGGATATTGAGATTTACATTGTTGAGTTCAAAAATGGTGATGAGGAAAAGTCATATTACTTGGAGAAGGGTAAGATTAAAAATTGGAGGAAAGTTGCAATGTAAAACAAAATCATATTGAGCAAACTAAGCAAGACCTATAAAATCATATTCAAAGTGTCATGACACACTTGTGCCAAAAGTCGAGCTCTAGACTATAAATCTAGCGCTTAATGGGAGGTAACCCATTTTTCTATACCTTTTCACTTATTTTGATTAGCTATTACATTATACATATTTTTAGAAATCATTAGTATTTTAGGGCCATAGCTAGGACATAACACACCAAATTTTATGGACTTAAAATTTGAGGTGTTACCATTATCATTCCATAATCATACATTAAGCGAAAAATAAAATTGAAATTTTAAAACTCCTAATTTATTTAATACTCAAATAATGAATAAAAACATAATGTCACGTAACATAGTACATTAAATGGGAATAAATGGAAAATGCAAAATGTCCTAACTAAATTATGTTTAAATATTTTTCTAAAAAATTTTTACTTGGTAGCTCGCGCATCGCTGAGCCATTACCCATGTCGACCGATCTAACCTGAAATGTTAAAATTGAAGGATTGAGAAATTTTATACTCAGTAGGATACATGCGTCCAAAATAATGTAATAACTTTTAAAACATAAATTTATAACATTCCATTTCATCATTTCATCAAGAGCAATCGTTGATCAATCGAATACTCTAACACATTTGAGAAGACCCGAAGGAGATCTCACATTTCATTTCGTTTCATTAGGACCCATAGGTCAATTAGCATATCATGAAATAAATCACGCAGAAAAAATTACAATATTGCAAGGACAATCGACTTGCACATAGTATCTTACCTCATTTTTGACAAAAATCTGAATGCACACTCAAAATCTTTTTCTACCTCTCTATGCTACCGCATTCAATTGATGCATACTATTTTGATTTCACAAATATTTCCAAACGAATTGGCATAAAAGGGATTGTTTTGTTTTCTGATAAAACAATGGCTTGTTGGCAGATTTTGGTTATGTAATTGGAAAAAATAATTGTTTTCTGTGGGATATAATGTGTACTTACAACCTGACTTTACAATATATAAATAGAGCAGATTCTCTAATAAAGTGAAATTGTAAAAAAAAAATATATATATATATATATGTGTGTGTGTGTGTGTGTGTGTGTGTGTGTGTGTTGTTTTGGTTTATCTAGAACATGTGATAAGCCAAAATCTTGTACCATGCAACAAGCAATCTAGTCAAATTGTACAATAATATTATCTTATTCAATTTAAAAAAAACCATTATCTCTATCCAAATACACGTGGCAGCCATCTATCAATCTCAAAAAAATTCAAAACTAATAAACCATAAAAGAAAACCGCCTTATCTAATTACACGTTGTAGCTCACTATCAATCCATGATTAATTAAGTTGAAAAAAACTAATTTTTTGTGATTTATTCAAACAGTAATATCTTGAAGCTGGTTTATCCGAATTGACTTTTTCTCAAGCTTAAAATGCATAATTAAATATGAGCTATCCAATGAGTATAATATTAATATACTTATCATCACTTTATCCAAATCCAAATATTTGACCCAAAGAATATAAGAATTTAAAATATATTTCATCTTAGTTCCTCAACTTTCAAAATAAGAAATATAATATACGGAATGAATAAATTTTTATTTTAAAATTTTCATGATGTTACACTCTCCCCT